CCAGAATCTCCTCCTCCTCCTCCTCTTCGTCCAACTGCTCGATGTCCTTTCCCTCTCTACCTCTCAGCTCACACCTACGGCTGCACAATGCATCGAAATGTTAGCGGCACATAGCGCAATATCCAAGGCGCAGAAGCTAGGTAAACAAAAGCAGCATTATGATGAAGTGCTGCAGAGATCCCCGGCTTATAAATCCAAAATAAAAGCTCGGTCATTGTGGTTTTAAATGTTTTTTTCAGTGAAAATTAAAATTATGACACAAAAATCCTCATTCCCACTTGTTGTGAATCATAATATGATTTTTTATTTGCAGTCAAAACACTGGAGACACTGAATCAACCCTCAACTGACCCTCCAGACCACTGCGCTGTTTACTTTGGACTGATTCAGCTGTTTTAACGGATAACAGAAGAGAAGTTGGAGTTCAAGTTGATTAAGATGTTTTATTCTAATCTCCCTCTTCAAAACATACTGGAGCTTCAAGCGAATCATTCATTTCATTATCGTTTAAATTGTTTTCTCAATTAAAGATCCAGTAATATAATGTATATAATGTAAGGTATTTTCTTTTTCATTAGTGTATAATCAGCTGACAGTACGAGCCGTGTTTTCGTTACCTGAGAATAATTTATCAGTCATCATTAATCATTTAGAGATAATCGGCAGCACATACACGTACAAAACATGCTTATAAAACACGAAGCATTGTTATAAATTATAGTAGAAGGACAGTTAAACTAATTATCAATTATAATTTGTGGATATATCGAATTTAAAACTGTTTTAATAACTGATTCTTTGTTAACTATTTAATGGTTCCAGTGAGGCTCCTTTTCCTCGTATTAAATTAAAGGAAAATTAATCATTTTGAGGTTTATTTTTTGTCTTTAAAACAAACAATAAGCAACAGGCCCCGAGTACTCAACATCTCTCGTCAAACAGTAGGGCTGAAGTGATTAATTAATCGATTCGACATGACTTTCAATAGCTGCACCTTTCTCCAGTGTGAGAATATCCTGGTTTTCTCTATTTTATATCTTTATAAACTGAATATCTTTGACTTTTGGACTGTTGGTTGGACAAAACAAGACATCTGGGAACATCTTCTTGGACATTTTTCACTATTTTATGAGTTTTTAAACTATGATTTATTGACTAATTGAGAAAATAATGAGCAGAGAAAACAACCTGTTAGTTTGTTGTGTATGTTATAATAATCAATTAATCATTGGAGCGCTTTAGAAGTCTAATTCAGAAACATCATCACCTTTAGCAGCCACCTGATCTGAGTGTAACAGTGTTGGATGTGTTACTACTGAAAGTCGCAGCTGTTTTGAATTATTTCCCTGTCGACACTAAACTGTATCAGACGCTTTTTTGAGTAATTTAACAGCTAATTCTGCAGCGTCTGTGCGGCCTGCTGAGACGAGCTGTAAGCAAACTGTATCTGTAAACAAACCCAGGAGCTGAGAACAGCATCGTATTACAGCCATCAGCTCCAGTGTGTCTCTGTACATTTACCTTCTCTGATAAAGCTCCAGAAAACTGAAAGAGCGTATTAAAGACGTAAACGGTTTGCCTCCCCGACCACAACAGGCTCCATTTAAAATCGTAATCCTCGCCTACATATAAAGTCTTAAAAATGTCTCGTTTTGTTTGACCAAAACCCAAAAAGACATTAATTTTACTATCACAGAAGGCTGAGAAAAGCAGCAAACCTGCACAAAGAAACAAGAAAACAATAAAAATATGACTATAAATGATCTATCGATCATCTAATCTCGTGGTTCCCGACCTTTTTTCTCTAAAGTAGCCCAGTCCGACCTCATTTAATGTTCTAAACATATTCATTTCAACTGATTTTAAACTGGTTGCTATAATATTTTATACAGTTTAAACTGTGTGGGTCAGTTTACATTTCCACTGCTACCACACAGGTAGAAACTGGACATTCATCCATTATTTTGAGCTTTCAGATAATCAATCTACAGTATTTTATCCACTACTGTTGGTCTTTCACCACTTTATTTCATACTTTAGTCGTTATATTCATTAGGTATGTTCTCATTAATGTATAATCACCTGACAATAACAATCAGTTTTACCTGAGAGGTTTTTATCTACAGAGGGAGCGGGTCGTCTTCTGGCGGAGTCCGCCATGTTGAACCACCATGAACGGATCTAGATTGGGGCTTTGTGTTTTTTGGCGTGCTTCGTGGTAAATGGACCTGTACTTGTNNAGCCCAGAACAGACAAAGCAAACAACGACTCTACCAGAGTTTCTACTACACGCTTGGTGTGTTTATCCATTAAAGTGAACTAACGATTTCAACCATTTATTGTTTGCTTTACGGCATCTATTTAACCTTTTATGCAGCTGTTCAAATACTACGACGGAGTATTAGGG